CTGGCAGGAACCCTCTCCCGACCCCTGCTCTCGGGCACGGCCCCTCCTTGGCTGCGACATCCTCGGTGTCACAGTTCATCGGTGCTGGCCACGTGTTGGTGTAGGAAGGGCAGCCAACTGCTGCCTGGGCCGTGGAGATCCTGGGTGGCCGCCGTCCCCACGCGAGGCGCTAAGCAGACTGATGCTGCAAAAGTAGTGCCATGAAACCGGGTACTCAGAGAGGGACACACCGGCCGGATCCTGTCCCACCTCGACCCCTCGAGCAGGCGGTGAGCATGGGGGCTGGAGAGGGGGTCGGGCCACTGCCAGGCTGTCTGGAGAAGGTCAGGAACGAGTGACCAGAAGTCCGTGGCTTGGAACACGGGCAGGTGGGGATGGACGGACAGAAAGGCCCGGATGGGAGCCAGGACCCCAGAGCACCGTGCACCGGGGCAGACCCGCAGCCAGTGCCCCACGCTCCTCAGCAGCAGCCACTCCTGGAGGAAGTCCCTAACAACAAGGGCCTTTCTAAGGCGAGCTGCGGCCTGCTGCCCAGGCCTAGGCCAGAACGCCACCCTCTGCTCCCGCCTGAGCCGCCCCGGTGTAGACGGGCGTGCACCGGCCGCCAACAGGGGGAGCTGGCACCACGTCTTCCTCGCCGCCTGGGCCTCGCCCACCCCTCCCCAGGGCCCCAACTCTCCCCTCCAGTGCGATACCTGCCCTAGGAAACACAGGCAGGAGGGACGGGAGAGTGCCTTTATTACCCCGCGATGTCCAGGGAGAAAGCAGCCCCCAGAGGCGCCTGGAGGAGCAGGCCTCACTGGGCCAGCAGTGCAGCTGGGGGAGCGAGGTCCGCGGGGTGTGTCGCGGAGGGTCAGCAGTGCCTCTCCATCTGGTTCTCAGGACCCTCCAAGGAGCGCCAGGTGGCGTCTGGACGTCCTGCCACCAGCTTGGTCTGTCACTCGGGTATGTCTGATGCCCTCAGCCTCCCCTTGCCTCGGGGTGCCTAGCAAAGCCTGCCAGGGGCCGAGTCACACAGGGGCCATCAGGCAGGGACCCCCAGGAGGGCAGGCTGTCCTTGCAGGCAGGGGGCAGCGTCCATGACTCCGGCACAGGGCACGCGGCACGCGGGAGCCGAGTGGCCTGAGTACCACGGGAAAGCCCAGGGCCACAACTCGCCACTCGGAACCTCCAGCCGGGTGGAAGGCAGTGTGTGTCCGGGGCCAGGGAGGGCAGCAGCGCAAGTCACAGCCCTGCAGGCGGCCGGACATTCCAGCAGAGCCTCTCATGGCAAGCAGGGGCAGAGAGCCCGTTTCCTGGCCCTCAGCGGGGACACATGGGTGCAGGACGCGCCACGGCTCCCTGACCCTCCGTGGGGACCACATGGCTGCCACCTGTGCAGACAAGAACTAGCCCATGGTAGAGGGGGTGCACTCTGCCCTAAGTGGTGACCGAGCCCCTCCTCGAGCAGGCAGACCTCAGGGCTTTTGGCAGCATGGGTCTGGGGACTCTGGGCTCCCCTCCCTCCCTGGTCCCAGTCACTCCTG